GAAAAACAGGAAACAAACATTCATTTAATCTACTTTGGGTTACCAAAACTGCTGAGTTCGATCATCATTGGTTGTCCTACACATTCCCATTACTACAAATTAGTGAGTTCGATCATCACTGTCTGCTCCATGCTTTACCATTACTATTAATTACCGAGTTCGAGCATAACTGGTTTCTCTAAACATTACCATTACGACTAAGTAGTGAGATCGATCATCACTGGTTGCTCTAAATTTTACCATTACTCCTAAATACTGAGTTCGATCATCACTGGTTATTCTACACTTTACCAGTACAGCTAAGTAGTGAGTTCGATTACCAATGTTTCCTCTACACTTTACCATTACTATTAAGTAGTTATTTCGGTCATAACTGGTTACTCTGCCATTTACCGTTCATACAAGTACTGAGTTCGATCATAACTGGTTGCTCTACACTTTACCATTACAACAAATTAGTGAGGTCTATCGTCACCGGTTGCTCTACACATTACCACTACGAGAAAGTAGTGCGTTCGATCATCACTGGTTGATCTAAATTTTACCATTACTACTAAATAATGAGTTCGATCATCACTGGTTGCTCTATACTTTACCATTACTACTAAGAAGTTAATTCGATCATCACTGGTTGCTCTATACTTTACCATTACTACTAAGAAGTTAATTCGATCATCACTGGTTGATCTAAATTTTACCATTACTACTAAGAAGTTAATTCGATCATCACTGGTTGATCTAAATTTTACCATTACTACTAAGAAGTTCATTTGATCATCACTGGTTGATCTAAATTTTACCATTACTACTACGAAGTTAATTCGATCATCACTGATTGCTCTACACTTTACCACTACTACAAATTAGTGAGTTCTATCAGCACTGGTTGCTCTACACATTACCCTTATTTCTAAATAGTGAGTTTGATCATCACTGGTTGCTTTACACTTTACCATTGCTACTAAGTAGTTAGTTCGATCATAAATGGTTGCGCTACACTTTACTATTAATAAAAATTAGTGATTTCACTCAGGAATGATTGCTGAACACATTACCATTACTACTAAGTAAATAATTTGATTTTCACTGTTAGAATTAATAATAACTAGTTCATTCGATCATCAATTGTTGCTTTACAATTTATCATTACTATTAAGTAATGAGTTGGATCTTTACTGTTTGCTCTACACTTTACAATTACTACTAAGTACTTAGTTCGATCATCACTGGTAGCCCTATATTTCACCACTACTACTAATTAGCGAGTTCGATCACCACTGGTTGCTCTACACTCTACCATTAGTACTAAGTAATGAGTTTGATTTTCACTTTTTGCTGTACATATTACAATTACTACTAAGTAGTTAGTTCGATTATAAATGGTTGCTCTACACTTTACCATTACTACTAAGTAGTGAGTCCGATCTTCACTATTTGCTTTACCACTTTACCATTACGACTCTAGAGTGAGTTCGATCATCGCTGTTTGCTCTACACATTACCATTACTTCTATATTGCGAGTTCCATCATCAGTGGTTGCTCTACATTTAGTTAATTTATATCAAAATATAAAAAGTTAGTAAACGATTCCTTATTCACCCTTTCTTTGAAAATGTATTGAGTTAGACATCGGTGATAAAATATTTAAACACTGAGCAAAGTTTTCAGTCTGCAATAGAAGACTAATGAATGTCTGTGTTGGTGATAATTGCTTGATTTTCAATTAGCTTTTCTCTTTCTTGTATTGGTTATTTCAGCTTTTACTTATTACTTCATGTGTTTATTGTTTGTTTTTCATTTTTAACGGAATATCAACTGGAAAATAGGAACAAAGAGAAAACATGGAGAAACTCTTAAACAGACAATATGTTGGATCTCTATCTATAAAAGGCAGGATATGTGTATGTGTGTGTGTAACGAATGCACGGCCGCAATTTTCGACGGATTTGCACCAAAATTTACATGTACATGCTCCAAGTTAGCGGGAAGGCCAAGACCGACTGCATTTCCCAACTCCCATCGATAGTGGAAATAATCGAATTTTTCATGCTTCTACGGCAGTTTTCATGTAGTTTGCGGCCATTATCTATAGTTGGCTGCCACGAATAAGCAGGAAGAGTCTATTGGCCAGCGTGCGAGCCAACAGCTGACTGACACGAATGTTAACTAGCATGCTAGCATGCAAAAAAATCGATAGCTGAATTCGTCACAAGTGGAAAAATTTAAATCTGCATGGCACTTTACTCTAATTGGCTCATTCGCTTGCGTAAACTCAACGTTGATTCTGATTCCGCAGAACTGGGTTAGGTGTGAAAAAGTATTTGTTGTTAACATTCTTTTTTCATTCAGTTTTTCCAGCTGATCGTTTTGTGTTCATTTTGTTTAGTTCTTTTTTCGTAACAGATTTAATGTTTAGTATAGAGCTTAGAAAAAATTCGCAGGCAAGAAGTAAGGCATGTAGCAACATCAGCACGGCAAAGGGCACTCATTTAAAGGCAAGGAAGGGCAAAAATATTTTAAGTCAAGTGATAGCGATTGCTCTATGAGTCGTATGATTTTTGAATCAAGCACGGGCAACGCCGGGTCATGCTGCTAGTGAAATATAAGAAGAGTAGCGTGTATCTATCTATCTATCTATCTATCTATCTATCTATCTATCTATCTATCTCAGCATTTTAATATGTATCACTCTATGTTCAGCTCTCTTCATATCTATATATCTGTCTACACTAGAATCCCAAAGTTCTTCAAAGTGTAACTAATAGACAAATCAATGTCAAATCTATTCTATAGTGCAAATTATTCATTTCCCTTGAAAATTCTCCAATGGTATAATCTTTTATATATTATGCATTTATGTGCACACACTTAATTTGTATGGAAATCGTTATATCGGGTTCGTTATATTCACTATGTGTAAATAGCCTTGGGAAATGTATGAATCCACCTTTCTCCCCCAGCTATGGGTTAATTAGTAGGTATCAGCAAATTTTGTTACAATCCTCAAAATGCTTACAATCTGAAAATATTTTCTGACTTTAAATAACCTGTGCAAGATATATAATCTGTAAAACCAATTCAATCAATCGATCTATGTACATTATGTCTTCTTTGAGTTCTTTTGTCATATATTTTTTACTTCAGATTTCTGTGTCACATCTCCGCCGATATTTACTATGTTACTCTGTCAAATTTATGTACATGTTTGGTTTTTGAAAGTTTTCTGTTTCTATTTGATATTAGAAAACCTATGACAATGTGGAAATATTTTTTCGTGGGATGCGTTTCGTCCTTTAGATATGCGCTTGAAGGAGAGAGGGTATACGGTAATTTTCAATTTAAATTACTTTGTTTTTAAATATGCGTTTGAGTATATACGCTAACTGATTTAATTTAGTTTCTTTTTTCCTTATGTTTTTATCACATTTGTTATTAAATATCCCATAATGTGACAATAGAAGATCTGCCAAGAAAGGCGAAATATTGTAGGAAAGTTGGCCCCCTTTGCCGCGCCAGGAAATTCTTCTCACCGGAATCGATCCTCCAGATCTACAAATCAACAATTCGCCCTTGCATGGAGTATTTCAAAAAAAAAAAAAAAAAATCTGAATGTCCTGAATTGGTATTTTTCTCCTTTTTGCGGGTGAAGCCTATGGATCTTGGTAAAGAACTGTACTAAATAACGGAAACTACATCACTTGAGAACTTTCAACAGTAGCAACAGCTAAACTGGATATTATTATGTCATTAACAAGATATTATTATGTCATTAACAAGATATTATTATGTCATTAACTGGATATTATTATGTCATTAACTAGATATTATTATGCCATTAACTGGATATTATTATATCATTATTTTCTCTTCGAGTATTGCTGCCATATATAATCTGGTGCCCCTTCTGTTTGCCTCGGGGTTCTTGATAGGCTCCAGAGGCGGATATGCAATATAATCTACAAATACTTTCATGGCTATTGCTCCGAGGAGCTGCATTTGCTGGTTCTCAGACTTCATGAGTTTCAGCGCCCTACGAGGCTGGCATCCCGCTCTCACCCCTTCACTGTCGAAACTCCTAAATATAGCTGTCTCTTCTACTCTAATAGCTTCATGTCTCGCACCTCCCGCCTGTGGAACTCCCTTCCCTATTCCAGTTTCCCTGAGAGCTATAATCTCCAACTATTCAAATGTAATGTCAATCTTCATCTCCAGTTGCCTTGATCTATCCAATTCCTTCTCCTCATCCTTTCTTCTATCACTCCTATCTGATCTTGCTCTAAATTTTCTGTAACCCCTTGCGTCCTAGTGGCTTCCCGCCTTGCTTGGGGTGTAACGCTTAAAAAAAATGTAAACTTTCTGGAAGTAAATTTACTGCGGATGATCTAGCGATAAAAGGACTTTCTACACATATTCGTAAATTGCTTTCCCTTTTAGTAAAAGATCTCTGAGATGTTTATATAATATTTTATTAAAATTCTTTGAGGGATGTAGCTCGCACCTTGGGCACTATTTTTCTTTCTTTTTTCTTTTTTTTTTTTTTGGTGGCGAAATGCATTCTGTTTTCTTGTAGGCAAGTTCGTTCTTTTTATCGTTATTACTTTGTCTAAGGCATACTCCAGTTCCCTTTTTGAGTCTGCCGCCACGCAAATCGGATAGGCCTAGAAATCTCAAACAAAGAAGACTGCATTATATCTCTGCAAATGAAGTATTTTAGTATCTTGCGGAGCTTAAAAACTGATTCTAATACAATATTTGAAAACATAAGAAAGAAACGAATTTCGATCTACCGCTTCAACGACAACTTAAGGGAATCAATAAAACGACATTAAAACTAGCTCAGCCTACCTACTAATTAGTACAGCACTTATTATAAACTATATCCTTTTGCGCTTCAAGTTGCACAAAATGTTACTCGTCAGAGAAAACTGAATGGACGTTTGTAGGCTAGCATATTTTTACTATTACTGAAATCGATTATTGCGTATGGACTTCTGCGTAGATGTGCATTGTCGATCGATTCAGCTATTATCAGAACCAAGGCCGTCGAAAACATTTTGTTACATTCTTTCTTTCTTTCTTTCTTTCTTTCTTTTTCGTTCATTCCTTTAATGTATCAGAATGGAAAGGTTTCCTTAAGGATGAAGTTGACAAAGAATTTTTTTTTCCTCCCGGGGGCAACAAGAAAATGAGTGTTTTTCGCACGTAGTTCATTTTCTTACCTTTCAAATTCCACCCTTATTTTCCGACTGGATTGGCTTCAAAGATCAAAGAGAGAAGAAATCAGAAGATAAATAAGAGAGAATGAAATACTGGCCACAGGGCAGAAATATCATCAACAGCTAGCAGATTAATCTAAATACATGTCTACATGAAAATATACAGTCATGTATAAATGTGTGATCGTATTGAAGAATAATTATATGTATGCTACGGACGTAAATATATGTATGGCTAATCACAACAGATATATTTCTTCTTATTATATAGCTAGTCACTATATATATATATATTTATATATATATATATATATACACATATATATATATTTGTGTATTTAGGCAGCAATCCATTAAGGAATTGTATTCCTGACCAATCAAAATTCGTAAATTTTTATATAGGTCACTCTAAAACTTGCCTGACACGCAGACTCACTCTACACCTTTCTGACCATAGCTCAATTAGATCTCATTTAAATATTCATGGAGACCTACCGGACACTATTCGTAACATATTTGTTGACAACACAAATATAATTGCATCATCTACATGCAAAAAAAAAAAAGGCTAAAAATAATAGAAGACTTATTAATAAAAACAAAAAACCAACACTTAATATTAACTTTGAACATGGACGCACTATTTTGACCGTGTTTTAAAAAATGAAAACATTTTAGAAAACATACATACAACAAACTATTTTTTAATTAACGGTTAAAATATTTAATCCTTGAAAATGGCTAAATGTATAGCGGAAAGCGCTAGGATAAAAAGGACATTCGGACAGTTTTTATATAATTTATCATCCGAAAAGAAAAACATTATTAGATACACACACACACACACACACACACACACACACACACACACACATATATATATATATATATATATATATGCATATGCACATTTAATTGACTACGACAGACATGGTGCTTTTATTATATATATATATATATATATATATATATATATATATATATATATATATATATATATATATAACAAGTTAATGGTCAGAAAACAGAGTAGTATTGAAAAGTGCTCATTACACGTATAAAAATAATAATTTAATATGTATATATATACATATATATATATGTATGTGTATATATATATATATTTTACATATGTGTATGCATGTAAATATATATATATATTTATTTATATATATATGTGTGTATGTATGTTTTATTGAAATGTATAGATATTTTATGTTTATTAAGTTTCAACATTTTTTTTCTAACATCTTTCGCAAAACTAGCTGCTGTATAGTTACGTAATTTGCCAAATCAATGTAATTGCCGTAGCTGGGCCATCGACTAGCGCATGTCATCGTCAGGGTTGTGTCGGTAGTGAAATTAATGACTGGTATCATCAATAAGTAATTCAATAAAATAGGGGGGAAAATTTAACCCTGAGTGATACATTGTATGTGTCGTTATATTTTAAATTGAATTCATTAAATTCAAAACGCAAAAAGACACAATCGCAACTATACTTTTCAAGAAAACTTGTTTAAATAAACTAATTACACTATCTATCTATCTATCTATCTATCTATCTATCTATCTATCTATCTATCTATCTATCTATCTATTATTATTATTATTATTATTATTATTGTAATAAATTACAATAAAAAGATTTAACATCGTTACACAAAAAGTTTCACGTTTCGGTACTTAGATGGCACATCGTCAGGCGATCGCCTGATGAAGTACTATCTCAGTACCGAAACATGAAAGTTTTTGTGTAGTGATGTTAAATCTTTTTATTGTAATTTATTATAATAAAATATTATAATAATATTTTGGTCTACTTTGTATAGAGTACTAAAAAAATGGTACAAACTTGATTTTTATTCCATCTGTTCTTTCTCACCTTTGGATATCTATCTATCTATCTATCTATCTATCTATCTATCTATCTATCTATCTATCTATCTATCTGTCAATTTAAGCCTGTCTGTCTGTCTGTCTATCTATCTGTCTATCTATGTCTCTGTCTGTCTGTCTGTCTGTCTGTCTTTCTCTCTCTCTCTCTCTCTCTATATATATATATATATATATATATATATATATATATGTGTGTGTGTGTATGCCTGTATGTGTGTGTGAACATTTCGGATAAAGTATCTGTAAAAAGACAATATAAATAAAGAAAAAAGAAAAATTTATCTTAGCGAATGCGTTTCGTCCTCTGAGGGACTTTATTTGCCTTAACAAAGTCCTTCAGAGGATGAAACGCGTTCGCTAAGATAAGTTTTCATTTGTCTTAAATGTTTGTTGATTACGAGTGCATTGGGATAAAGTGTTAGTCATTTTTTCAGCTATCAACTTAATAATGTAATTAATGAACTGTAAATGCTATTACAAATGTTGTTGAAAATCGATACAGTCTTAATTTCCTTATACGGCCAGTAGTGTGTGATTTTGTTTCATAATTACTGTTAGTAAGAGGTTGGTTTCTTGTTTTTTTTTTGAAGACTTGCCTCTCATTTAATTTATTGCTTAAACTTTATTGTTAATGGATACCCCCCATTTGAGTAGATGCTCTGTTGGTATTTATTTATTTATTAAACAGTATATTTATTCATTTTCATCTGCCAACTCGTCCAAATATTTTATTTATAGCTATGTGGAGAATAGACGTATTAATGCACATTCCATCGGTATTAATGTAAAGTGAAAGCAACAAAATTTACCAGAATTTGATCTCAGCTTACCGATTCTATATTCAGCGCTGATAAGTTTTACCCCACCTGTATATCCATTTTTACAGTTGTAGACACTGTTTATTCATACATTTATCTTAAAACTCATAAAAATCAAAGCAGAGTTTCACAAACCTATTAAAACTCGTTACACATACATACGTTTATATAACATTATCTAAAACTGACATGTGTTCACATAGCGCTTTTGATGCTCTTGGTAATCTCCGAAAAGCGACAGTACGTGGTGTCCGAGCACACAGAAAATTCAGTTTTTTTTTTTTATTTTCAAGGTTGGTTAGGAAGGCCTTCCACAACGGAATGATTTGCGTCACTCGCCCAAAGTCTCACCTCTATTCTCGTGATTTGACCGCGGCACGAGACTAAAATAACTTTAATAAATATCTATAGAATCATTATACTTTTACAGAACAGAAGATGTGGGTTTATGCGTGTGACACAAAGCAAAGAATATGACTGACAAACACCAGATTAAGATTTTGTGAGATTTCAACAACGAAACAGTTGGTGTCTTTGAGATCACCAAACTAGGCATCGTCATCGTTGACAACAACAAAATGCTTCCTCATCGACGTGACTCTTCCTGGTGATGTAGGTCAAAGTAATCGGCCTGCTTATAAAATACATCGAATTCCGGATTGAAGTTATCATCATGTGGGGTAACCCGGCCACTATAGTCCCAGTTATCATTAAAGCATTGGGGTATATAACATCGAACAAAGTCCTACCTTGAGAAAATCGGATTCAAACCTCGTATTCGATCGCTTCAGAAGTCTACGTTACTTGACACTGCAAATATTCTGTGAAAGATGATCTTTGTCTTCGAACGTGCGACCTGATACAGAACACTTATAGTGCAATATCTCCAATTGAAAATAAAAAGCAAGCAGACGAAGAAAATAATAATAATAATAATAATAATAATAATAATATAAAATTAAATCACTAAATACGAGTACGATACCATCAATACATTTTTGAAAATCAAATGTTGCCAGCAATGCGTTTTTGAAAGAAAAAACCTAAAAAAACCCCTTAAAACATAAATTAATCCAATGAACCAAACAGGAACACAATGATCTCAAATACACATAATATACTTCAATGGTAGAGGAATAAATAAAAAATTATTACCAGAAATAAATTTTTGAAAGCAAAAATATTACCAGCAACACGTTTTTGAAAAGATATGTCAGCTGTACGTTTTTGAAAAATACTATAACCAGCTATATATTCAGAGGAAGGAGATATTGATACAAAATGAATTTCTAACAAAACAAAAATATTATCGGAAAACAAGTCGTCGGCATTAAATGCCCCATTGAGGTTGAAATGCCGTAAAACAAAACAAAACAAAATCACTAAATGAAATTCCATCACTCAAGGAAATGCTAAAACAGAATCTGCGGTTAAAGGCACAGGGGAAAAACGATACGAAAAACGTTGTAGGTTCTATTGCCAAAATAAAATATCCCAAAAGAGCCTTAAGAATGATTGCAGGGACATTGGAGAAGCAGTTTTACTTGTCAAAAAACCATCATCTATTGAAAAAGTGCATAAATTTTTGGAGAATATTTGGAGCAGCCCAAAGGAATAAAAGCCTAATGCAGAGTGGATCCAACTAAAAGAAAAACGAATATTGGATAAACCACTACAAGCTCTAAAGAAATTCCAAAAATGGAAATCCCCGGGAAATGACAAGGTTCCCAAGTTTTGGTTCTGTCATCTGTCATCAATCCATAAAACCATTTCAAAAACTTAATGAATGCTTATAATACCAATGAAGTCCCAGAATGGATCACTGAAGCTATTACATTTCTACTGCCAAAAGAACGGGTGAAACAAATAATCCGAAACATTATAGGTCAATAGCATGTCTGTCCACCACGTATACATTTACCACGTCTGTCGTAACGTACCGTACCGTACTTTTTTCTATTAGCAAACAAAATTCTTCCACAAGAACAAAAGGGATGCCGGAGAGGTTCATATGGTTGCAAAGATCAACTACTAATAGACAAAATGATCCTGAAAATTGCAGGAAAAGACGTGAAAATATCCGACGAGGAAACTTTCACAGTAACTCCCTGTTACCCTTTTTGTTTTGTCTGTCCTTAATCCCCCTTACGCATGAAAAAAAACATATAATGGCTGGGGCTACAAAGTAAACAAGAAATTATTCAATCATCTACTCTACATGGATAATCTCAAACACTTTGTCAAACATGACAATGAGTTGAAGGGTCTCCTCAATACTATAAGATGTTTCAATGATGACATAGGTATAGATTGCGGATCAGATAAATATGCAAAAGTAACATTCAAGAATAGGTGACTCTGTAAATCACCCATTCTTGAATGTTAACTCAATATATTAGATTTTATCATAAAGAGTAAAGAACTGAAACAAGAAGAAGCCCATAAGTACCTAGGAATTAGCAAATGAGATAGAATTCATCGTACAGAAAGTAAGAAAGGAGTACTACAAAAGTGGGAGACTGCTACTGAATACCCAACTGAATTAAAAAAACAGAATATCAGCCACAAACACATTGGCTGCCCCCGTGGTACAATACAGTTCCAACATCCTTAACTGTACCATAGCTTTAAGCGAAGGGACGAGAAATAGAGAAAGCTTCTCAAATGCCACCGCACGAATCATCCCAAAGGAGATGTTGATCTCTGTATGTTCCCAGATACGAAGAAATTGAGGATTAGTTCAATTAGAAATGTCTTAAAATCTACAGCTATTGACCTTCTAAGATTCCTGGAAACTAGAGAAGACTCGATGATGATCTGTGTCAAAGAACATGAAATAATTAAGAAACTTTATTCAATAATAAAGGAAAACAACAAGTTCAAAATGGAGTACAGCATAATACAGCGACTGCAGCTGCGAAATACTTAAAGAAGAAAGCAAAGGTCAATGCAAGAGACCGGATACAGAAACGATGGCAAGACAAACCGCTTCACGGTTATAATTCTGCGTGTACCAATCAAGCTGATGTAGACAAGCTCCGTACCCATCAGTGGCTACGTAGTGCAGGATTTAAAGCTGAAACTGAAGGTTTTATTCCTGCTGCACAGGACCAATGCATGGTAATTAGAAATTGCCACGCACACATACTGAAAAACTGTGTTAGCCAAAATGTAGATTCTATGATAAATATCCAGAAAGAATTGACCATCTTGAATCAGGTTGCGCGTTACTGGCACTCACTGAATATACAATTCGGCATGACAGAATGGGCCAATATCTGAACTATAAAATCTGCAACTTTTACGGAAAGGAAACTGCAAGAAATTAGTACGAACACCACTCAAACCCGGTTACGAAGATAGGATCGGTAAGAATTTTATGGGACTTTACAATACAGACAGACAGAACAATCAAAACTAATCGCCCAGACATCGTGATTAAAATCCGCAAAGACAAAATGTGCCTTCTTATTGACATAGCAGTCCGTGCAGACTTTAAAGATCTTCAAAAAATATCAAAATATATGGAACTTGAAATCGAAATCTCATAAATGTGGCTCACATAAACATCAACAATACCATTTGTAGTTGGAGCCCTCGGATTGATTGGAAAAATTCCAATAGACCCATCGAAGGTATTTCTGGTAGCCTATGCCTTAAAGAAATACAAAAAATGTTCTCACAAGTATAGCCCTCACGTTACGAAGGGCTTTATCTATGTAAAACGTGCTTTTTTTTTCAAAACTTCTCAGAGAAAATGTCATGATACCATTTCTGACCTTAAGCGTCTGACCCGGAAAGAAATGATTATACACCAGAAATCAAAGGGATAATAATAATAATAATAATAATAATAATAATAATAATAATAATAATAATCGACACTGATAGAGTTGCGGTACCTTGTGGCAGGAACATCGTGAAGGCGGAACGGTCGAAAATACAGAGGTACCAAGGCAAAATGGAAACACACTCAGGACTATTTCCCCGGATCTTTCTGCCTCTGAGAACGCCTAGGAGATAACTGACATCATTGTATGTACAGAGGTGGCAGTACTGCCTGGAACAGTCCATGTGCTGAGGAAGCGTTTGCATTTCAATGTTGTGGGTACGAAATGAGATATGATCATCACCCGCCTGAAACATCTTGGAGTCCAAGAGGATATTAAATAACAACAGCAATATATATATATGTTCCGATGCTCCCCCTTTTATATATATATATATATATATATATATATATATATATATATATATATATATATATATATATATATATATATATTCATACTTTCGGCCTGTGTGTGTGTGTTTAGAAATGTGTTATTACCAGAAAGTGGAAGATATTATATTCACGTAGATATATCTTTGGGGTTGATGCCATTTATATTGTAAAACTTCCTCCCGCAGAGCTCGAGATCGCTCCAACGGATCACTTAATCTTAAACTTAACTTAATTTCTTGTCAGTAAACCTGCATTCACAACAACCGTATCAAAGGAAATTGCTTATTTTACTAAAGCAACTCAAAATACAAGTAGCGCAAATAGTTGTCTCTTCGTAAGGAACTGATCGTTGGTTTCATGGCAAATTTATACTTTGTAAGTATTTCCATCGAATCTGCCAAATGGAAATATTTGATGCATTAAGAATAGATTTAAGTTAATTGTTTTGATTTACTTTTGTTCACAGAGACTGATTAATCTCTTTGTTCTTCACAAATATAACACCCACTAAAATATCAGATATCTCGCTGATTTTGCAACTACAGATAAAGAATTATAGATTTTTTTTTGAAAAACGAAATTAGCACGTAAATGCCAGTAAAAAAAAATCGTTGATGCAAGATCGAACAGATTTTGTACAAATAATCGTCATTAGCAACAGGCTCATCTAAATACCATGATATGTCTCTCTCTCCCCGACCCTACCCTTGTAAATCCTCTTGGCAACTATTTACTTTTTTACTCGCTTTTTCAATTACTGAAGCTGATGAATGAGAAAATAACATTTCTTTTTTTCAAGAGTAACATCGCAATTTCCATTGGCGACAATTATGGGAGCCAAAGAAAGATGAGGTTTTGTTGGGCGCAACTGGAAATTCGTAAACATAAAAGTAATTTAATCGATTTTCCTTGTGGGCACACAACAGTAATGTGGGTGTGTTTTTGCGTATGTGTTTTCACACGTGTGCAGACAACTAAAAAGAAAAAAAGAAAAGCAAAAAACAAGAAAAAAGAAACGTAGGAAAATAATATTGTCTTTAAGATAAATCCACGCACACAAAACTCTTGGAGAAGAAGACATGTTTTATAAAAAATTTAGGATTAATATTTTTTCACTTAAACCAATGATGTTTAATCTTTCCTTTCCCCAGCACCCTTTTGATCATATATTAAAAATACCCGGTAATGGAGCAGACTACATGATACAGATTTAATAATACCTGTTTGTTGTATTATAGCAGCACCAAACATTGATTAAGATCTGTTTATATTTCCGAGATGATGTATTGTAACTTTTACACTATTTAGTTTGTTCGGACTGTTGTCCTCATTTTCATTGCCATATTAACAGCACTTCGACCGTTTTACGGTCTGGCCTTCTTCAGGATCTGTTTATATTTCTGAGATGACGTATTGTAACTTTTTAAACTATTTAGATTGTTCAGACTGTTGTGCTAATTTTCAATTGCCATATTAACGACACTTCGGCCGTTTTACGGTCTGGCCTTCTTCAGGATCTGTTTATATGTCTGATATGATGTATTGTAACTTTTTTCACTATTTAGATTGTTCGGACTGTTTTCCTCATTTTCAATGCCATGTTAATGACTCTTCGACCGTTTTACGGTCTTTCCTTTTTCAAGATCTCTCTATATTTCTGAGATGATGTTTTGTAACTTTTTACAATATTTAGATTTTTCGGACTGTTGTCCACATTTTCATTACTATATTAACGACCCTTCGGTCGATTTACGGTCTGGCCTTCCTCAGGATCTGTCTATATTTCTGAGATGCAACGAATTGTTTATTATCAATATTTATAATCTACTTAAGTATGCACACTATCTATCTATCTATCTATCTATCTATCTATCTATCTATCATCTATCTATCTATCTATCTATCTAAACACACACGCACACATACACACACATATCTATATGTATATCTATCAATATCTCTCACTCCCTTTCTCTCCCTCTCTCTGTATATATATATATATATATATGTTTGTGACCATCGGTTTCACGCTTATGCGAGCCTTAGCTCTATCACTGATAGTGAGTGATTTCAAGCACCGCACATATATATATATATATATATATATATATATATATATATATATATATATATATATATATATATATATATATATATATATATATATATATATATCATTTTTTTCATTGTTGTCTATCTATATATGTATGTTCATTATCTTACGGTTTGGTCATTATCTACCTATGCTTACTATGTACCTGTGCTATCTCTCTCTCTGTCTCTCTATCTATCTATCTATATATCTATCTATCTATCTATCTATCTAAAAAAAACGCTTGTCTCACACACGCTTAAAAATAATAACGTTTTCTCCCTTTTCCTGAATCACTTACCTTCATTTGTGTCACTTTCTCTTTGCATATCAAAAATATACCGCTTTACAATTCGTTTCATCACGCGCTGAAACGGACAAAACAGAAGTATAAACAATTGTTCGTTTCTCTAATTCTGTTGTCACGTGTGCTGGTGAGTCAGTATACTGGTGTGTGCATTTATATGCGTGTGTGTGTGTATGTGTTACATTTGGGATGAGTTTTATAACGAATAGATACAGAAATAACAAAGGCAGGCAAGAAAGAAGTAAGCAAGTGTATATAATGTATATACTCGTGAAAAAGCCGATCTTTCCTAAACAACGAAACACTATAATTTTAGAACACAGAATTGTAATTCAATTTCTTTCAAATCGTTTTTTTTAAACATCTATCATAATATTTATTAATTGCTTCAAACTAAATGGAAAGAAAACGAATTATATTTTGGGGGAACTTATTTTAGGAGTTTCAGAAATTTCATTGCTATGAATTTTGAGCCAATCAACGAAGGAAGAACCAAGACTGAATCTCTATCCACATCTTTCATATTCACCAGATTTAACATCTGCTGATTTTCATGTGTTTCGACAACTCGAACACTTCATAAGTAGTAGAACATTCAAAAAAAAAAAAAAAAAAACGTTGAAAAGTGTCACTCAACCTTTTGGGAAAAGAAACTTGATCTTGGTACTTGAAATCTGAATATTTGCATTCCGTTGGACATCAGTCGTTGAAAATGAAGATGATTACAATTTTGATAATAATATTTAAATAATTTGAAACTATATGTGATTTTATATCCCTTTCGATTAAAAGGAATTACTTTTTATGTTACCTTAATGATATTTAAATTTAATTAATATTTGTTTATATATCCTTTTTAGTAAAACGTAATGTACACGTATAAATGATTTGCACAAATATGCTCCACAGATCAGTGAAGGATTCATGCTAGGGGTTTATTCCTTATAAGGATAATGAAGCTTTGTTCCGAAGAGATTAACTGTAAGATCCTTTTAAAAAATACTCCTTAAAGTCTCGATTAATTTGTTTGAAAATTTATTAAAATTCAGCAATTATATAATGGATAGGGGCTAGGATTGAGAAATCGGAGAGCCGGGATCGATTTCCAGTCGAATCCATTACATACACTTACGAGCTGATACCCTTGGGAAAAGTATGAATTCACTTCTTCTCTCGCCAGCTATGGGTAAATAGCAAGACAGACCGGGTTCTCTAGCCTTGGATGGCAACTGGGCTACGGCAGAAAGAAATGGCAACCTACTGCGGGGAAAAATCTGCCTCATCAGTCATGATCGCCTAAGCGTGTATCACGCATGTCACATAACTGACTGACTGAATTATATAATGCCACAGAAGACAATTTAAGCGAGCGATTACTGCGAAGAAGAAAACAGATGTAATATAAAATAACAACTTTCTGACATTTTTTCCATGAACACGACTATAATTAGCCGATTATTGGAGTCTATCAGAGGAAATATTATGGATTATTATCAGTTCTTTTGACTAATACTTATTTCATCCAAATTTCAGTTGCTTATTTTTATCGCAGCTGCAGAAAATAAGGGACACTATTTCGAGTCTTGACGGAATGCTATTATTTACACCTGATCGGTGTTGTTTTTTCGTAATCGTAGATGCCGATCGAGAGTAACTGAAATACCAATAAACTGGTAGACATTTGAATTTATACTGGCCCACCAAAAAGTGGGGTCCCGTTCATAAATTAAAGACAATATCAAAACGATCCCTAACTTTTTAAAGAGTTATCTGTACATTATTTTTATTTAAAAATTTCAAGTTTGAATCTTTGATGACGTCATTAATAACTCTGTTTGATGACGTCATTAATAACTCTGTTGATGTCGTTTTTTTCCCCATTCGTACTAAGCTTTCATTACATGCGCAAAGCTTTAAACTCGACATTAGTTAATGAAAACTATGGACGGATAAATCTTTACAAAATCAGGAATCGACTTGACACTGTATTTACATTATGAACAAGCACCCCACGTCTAAAATGATGTAAAATCAATATTTGATGTGATTCTGACAAATGTCGTGGCTAGAAGAACGTCTAATGGTTGCTAATCTAGAAAAATTGGTAAAAAAAATTCTTCCCGGTTTTTTCGAGCAAACTTGTAAATTTAAGTAGTGCATATTTCAGTAAGTTCGTTTTCTGACTGCGATGAAAGCTTAAACATTGAAATGGAATATTTATTAGAGATAAGTAATGTAAATCTTTATCAAAATGTTGAGATCTTTTTGATAAAGTGATCAGTTTTAGACACTGCGAAGTAAAATCTATGTAATGGTTGACCCCTTCATTTTTATATCTTCAAATAGATTCGACATTAACACGAGTTTATACAGTTTCGTTAGCTAGCTAGATAAATGATCAGACTTAGCTAGCTTGCTAGATAGATAGATATGAATGAGACTGAGATAGATGAACAGATTATATATGGATGAACACAGTGAAAGAGATAGATAGATCGATAGATATGAATGAAACTGAAATAGATGAACAGATTGAGATAAATATGAACAGATTAAAATAGATAGATAGATAGATAGATATAGAAGAGTAAACTAACAGACAGACAGACAGGCCGACAGCCAGCCAGATATATATATATATATATATATCTATATATATATATATATAGATAGATAGATAGATAGATAGATAGATAGATAGATAGATAGATAGATATGAATGAAACTGAAATAGATGAACAGATTGAGATATATATGAACAGACTAAAATAGATAGATAGATAGATAGATAGATAGATAGATAGATAGATAGATATGGAGGAGTAAACTGACAGATAGATAGATAGGTAGGTAGGTAGGTAGGTAGATAGATAGATAGATAGATAGATAGATAGGTAGGTAGGTAGGTAGGTAGATAGATAGATAGATAGATAGATAGATAGATAGATGGAGGGAGGGAGAGAATAGAAAAGGAAAATGAAAAAATAAAATAAAATGCGAGAAAATAGAGGAGAAATTGACAGTAAATTAGTAAAAGGTAGGAGAAGGTCGATAAATGGAAAAAAAAAGTAAACATAAAGCTGTAAAAGTAGGTGGAGAAAATAAAAGACGAAAATATAATGAAACGGTGGAGAGAGACCCGGATGGAATAGAAAAATCGATAGATTTCACAACCGAGAAAATCATCAAAATATATAAATATTATAACTTTACTGAAGATCATAGATCTGTATCACCTCAGGTCAAAATTTTCAAAGTCACGATTTCTTTTTTGTTTGCTTATTCAGTTTTCTTTTTCCCATTAACTCCCAAGAAAATTAAAAAAAAAAATTCTTTTCCTGCCTTTTAAAATTTTTCCTTGCGCATTTCTTAAAAATAAAAATCTCTTGTGACGGAACGAGAAAACAGAATTGCAGTACTGAAAGTAGATTCGATAATATTGAACAATAATGAATATAATTTAATTTTTACCTATTATTTATTTATTCAACAAAACTTAATGGGAAATTTTGAAAGCAAATTGCATAGTATATATAGTGTATTCGTAAAAAAACATTTTATATATATATATATATATATATATATACACATGCAAGGTGCTAACGGTAAATTGTCGCCATTTTAAATTTTAATTTGCGCATGCGCATTTTTGTTTTGGATTTTATCGACTGCACAGTATTCGGGAACCGTCTGTGAGTAACAGACCGCCATGACGCAATTCACTGCGCCAGAAATTTGCAAACGGTATGCTGTATTACTTGCCATCGCACCGGAAGCTCGAATACGAACATTTCAGAGTGTTTAGGGGTCAATCTGAGGACAGTGCAGAGGATTCGGAAAGAGTTAGATAAGTTTAATGATGATTACGAAGGTACGGCAGCTTGGAAATCTCACTGTGATCGTTCTGATAAGAAAAAAATTACCGAATTTGCTGCCGAGGGCTTCAGATTCAATATGGAGACCTATCTCAATTGACTTGAGGAGTTAGTGCTGCCCTGTGTCAAGTGAGTGGTTGCTGGAAGACCCTATGCCTGGCAACAGGACTCTGTAGCATGCCACACAAGCAGAAGAACGCAGCCATGGCTGCCAGACAAATTCTGCGACCACATCACCCCTTACATCTGGCCATCTAACTTCCCAGAATGCACCCCATTGATTATTATGTTTGTGTCACGGTTGAGCGATAGACCAACAAAACTCCTTGTAACACCAAAGGTGAACTGAATGCAAGGATTATGGCAGCATTCACTAACTTAAACAAGGAGACCGTCCAAAAGTCATCTGGAGGCCGTGGTTGAAGCCAATGGCGATTTTATCAAATAAATTTATTCTTTGGTATTTCAAGTTATTTTTTGCGTAATTTTGGTAAATATATTTGTTAAAATGAGATTTCAGTGTTCTTTTGCATTTTTTGTGTAATTTGGACATCATCCATCTCATAATATATATATATATATATATATATATATATATATATATATATATATATATATATATATATATATATATATATATATATATATATATATATTGCAATGGTTAGAAAGCTTGTCTTGCTAGATCAATTAGGACTGAGTAGTGAGTTCGATCCTCACTGGGTGCCCCATACTTTCGGCCTTGTGCCACATCTAAGCCGGGCTTAGAAAATCACTATATATATATATATATATATATATATATATATATATAGATAATATTAGTGGAAAATATACATACATATGAAAAATATATATCTAAAAAAAATTTCCATACATGTATATTTTCAGAAAAATTTTTTCCAAGAGGAAGGATCCAGGTAGAACTCAATGTCTAGGACAGAGTAGGATATAATAAAAAGGCTTAAACACTAGTGTTTAAGCCTTTTTTTATATATATATATATATATATATATATATATATATATATATATATTCCTTTTTAGTTATTTTCCGAGAACACTATTCATCATGCTTTGACAGTCGCAATGTTGGTCAAAGAAGCACTCAGATACATGTATACTAAGTTTTGGACAGATACATAGTCCCGACCTTTGCCAAGATAGACAAATTGTTTGGGCTCAAGGGACAAATGACAGCACAGATAAGAGCAAATATTCCCCTAAAATATCAACATGAATTGTTTGGCATGTTTTACTGCATCAGAACTACATCCAGGCATGTATTCAGCTACTCTTCCACTTAACCCCACGATACCGTTAGGTTCTTCTTTTAAAATGCCGCGAATGGGTCACCTGGGTGATCGAATGACAATAGTTAGTAATGGGAACAAGTTCTGCCTCCATTCAAGTAATACGAGATTTTTACTCTTGATCCATGGAGCATGAATATACAGGCGTGACACCCAACCTTATGGTGTGTGGAAGGGAATATGTTAACATTTGCCTAGCTTTGGTGGTTATGGACAGACATTTTTCAACCCGTTCTGCAGTGATTCAAGCAACAGGAATTCGTGGCACTGTCTCAGCAAGAATATCCCTACCCGCATGATTCCAGTGCTATTCAGTATACTCTTCAAGTTGTTTGGTAACCTCCTTAACTAGCACGACCACCATAACTGTCCTCATTGAACTTATATGAGACATGATGTGACGAACTTTAACACAATCAGTTACCCTAATTGCAACTCTTGTGTTATTGCGTCAACTGCTCGTTATATCCTTATTTGGCTGTTATACGTCGTAACAGCCAAATAAGGATATACAATGTATTATATGGAGTATGAATATTGCTGATACACTACTTATTTTCGAACATGTAAACGTATTGATCTACATATATGATCCTTTAATGTAACCTTAGATATCTCATTTTGAAATTTAATTTTGAGCAAATTGAAATGCATATCATTATTATTTTCCATCAATGTATATGATATACAGATATATTTATATTAAAGTATTACATATTAAAAGATCCTTGAAAGCTTCATATGGAATTATTATGTAATTGTAATTATTATCAGACAGAAATAAGATATTGCTTGCAATTCTTAAGAAAGAGTTTACAAACCATGTACTTACTTGATAAGTAAGTTTTTGTATACAAATTGAAGGATCCGAATCATTGCGAACAAAGCCGTTTGTCGTAGACATCCGTTCTTGAAAATGCTTGATTCCCTTCAGGTGTGGTCGGCCGGAATCCCATGCAGTAGCGTCTAGCGGAGTGATGCCTTGCTGAAAAAAAAAAACAAAAAAAAAAAACGCATAATTTAGAAAAACAAATAATTTCAGGACAAGCCATTTTAATGTAACTCCAATGTATATGCTAGCCTTACACCAAACTTGAAGCTATATATATGACCAACATATATTTCAGCGCGATTTCGAAACCCAAAACAAAAAAAACAAAAAAAAAACAAAGCGTTAGGAATCAAATGATCGAAATCGCCTGAAGATACCAAAAGGTTGAAACCAAAATAGTTGAATTGGCTGATTTCCTAATTTTCTATACTATTTGAATTAAATCCATAACACTTGAACATTTCATTTAACATTAATTTCCTGAAAAATAAATACAATCAATTCGTCTCTTTAATTTTAGTTCAATCAAATTCTTCAACTATTTCGTATCTTCTCTTCCGAAATGGTAAAGATTCTCTGCAGCATTGCAATCAACTCTACTAGAAGTTCCTAATTGAATTTTCAACCCTAGATTTTTTTTGCTCTCGGCTTCTTATAACTGGAAATGGTGTGAGTCAACAAAGATCAACATTCCCTTTAATACAACCCAACTTTCAATTTTCATAAGTTTTTTTCATCTTATAACTCCATCTGTTTACAAGTAATTGAAAGTACTTATCTTTGAATACACTGTTTTTTTTCAGCAATCAGTCAGTTTTGCCAATTAAAAATATATCTCGAATCTGTACAAACAATTGTCTTTGAAGACACTAGGCTGTAACGTAAAGGAATTCGACATTTTTTTCTTGGGTAATCACTGGTACTGGATACAGAGAATATGGCGTGATCGAAAAGCGACCTTATCGTCGAAAAATGTCGGTCGACGAAAAAGAATTGAAGGAATAATGCTGGGTTATTCGCGTGCTTCGAAAGCGAGAATAGACGGCTTCTACTGGAATTTTGAATTGAGAAAATGAAGTGTGTTAAACAGGACTTCTGTTGGCGTGCTCGTTTCAGTGGCAGGCTAGCTGGCAAAACACCCTCTTGCCGCCTTGATCACAGCTCCCAGCTCGCAACTGCCCAGTTGGAAAATATTTTGGTTGAGACTGATTGGAAACAAGTATGAATGTTGCCTCCAAATGTTCTATGCTGTTATGACCAATTAAAGTACCATTATTCCACTCATAGATACTTTAATATTCATAAACGTATATGTTTAAAAATCACTGTCATTAGAATCACACGCACACACACGCACAGACACACATATAATATATATATATATATATATATATATATATATATATATAGTCGACTCTTCCGTCGAGTTCGACGTATGAGGGTCAAGCAGATCAGTTCCCAGGAAACTGACAGCCCGACAACAGCACATGAGATTTGATTATAGTGGTGAAGGTTTCGTGCAGGGACGAATACAGAGACCTGGTGCACTAAGTGCCACAACGTCCTAAAAAGACCCTCCACAGGTTTTGAATTCAGAGTTGTCCTTCTCCTAGACCAGTTGCCATCCAAGGCTATAGAACCCAGTCTGTCCTGCTATTTACCCATAGCTGGAGGGAGAAGAAGAGGATTCACACCTTTCCCAAGGGTATTAGCACGTAAGTGAATGTAATGGATTCGACTGGAATTCTAACTCGGCTCTGTGATTCCTCAATCTAAGCCGCTATCCATTACTCCCCCCTCTCTCTATATATATATATATATATATATATATATATATATATATATATATATATATATATAATTTATATATCATAAATAAACAAACAGTATTTCGATAAATATTATACATAAAATATATATATATAAATATATATATTTAGAAATTTTATATATATATATATATATATAATTTATTTGTTTAAACGTTATTTTATTAAATGCATAATCATATTTGAGTAGATGCTCTATTTTTTATATATTTATTGAACAGTATATTTGGAATTTGAACTCGAACTCAGTTCGCCTACTCCACTTACCACTCTGATAACCGTTGAATTTCGATGTCAAGAGTTAACTTTTCTATTGTATTCTTTGATTTTGAAACACTAAAATCTGGAACCGTTTAATGTTAAAAATTTGAAACTCTTTCAATTGATGATTTATTTTTTATTACACTTTTACAAAATTTGACCAATCACTGACAAAAGACTCCAAAATGACCCACACTGCATTTGAAAAATCTAAAATGTCTTTTCTCTGTTACTGAAGAAATCGGATACTTCGACTTGGATATGTAATAATAGAAATAATGTCATATTACCGTTTGCAATAAAAAATACATCTTCAGAATAAGTTCGTAAATAAGTAAAACTTTCGACTGACCCGTCGCCCGCTGGGCATGGCGTACAGTTCCACGTCTTTGATTCGACCTGGATGTCTGATGGTTGGCTCGTCTACTTTCACGCACAATCGGTAGAAAAATCTGAACACGTAATAAATGGACTTGAAACTTGGAACAATATTGAATGGCACTGGCAGCGTGCAGTCTTCCCGGATGTACTCCATGTACAGTTTACTACGGGCAAACTTCCACTCCGTGTCAGCCTCGGTCTGGACGAAATAATAAAAGCCAATTAGTATATAAAAAAAAACCCAAAAAACAAGAAATTCGACTGATTAAATGACTGTCAGATGGACAAAATAATCGACTACAAATATATCTGCGTAAATGGCTTGCAACAAGTATAAAAACATGCGCATGTTATGCAGAGTCTGAGCCAGTCCAGTTTTATGTTGTGCGGTAAAAGAAAAAGAAAGGCGAATAAGATAAGAAAGAAGACGAGGTGAACAAAAATTAGAGGGAAAAAGGCAATATACGGAACAGAAGATTAAAAAAAAAAAGAATAGTAAGAAGTGGAAAAGAGGATATAAAGGAAACAAATTAATAAAGAATAGAGAGAACCAAAAATCTATTCCAATATTAAAAGATTCCTGTAGCTATGTATGTATTTATTTATGTGTGCCTGTGCCACGATCGAGCTCAAACGACAAGGTTTGCTTAAAGTTTGGTATGAAGGCTTGCCAAATATTCAGATGTCACATATGCTACGTTATCAGAGAGTAGAAAATGCAAATCTGAGCGAAATGGAGTAGTTGCTACGATAAAAGCAATGGGATACTGGGCTTGTTATGTAGTTTGTTCAGTTTATATATATATATATATATATATATATATATATATATATATATATATATACCCAAGTATAGGATTGGTGTATACGGAATAAATTCTACATTCAATATCATCACTTGATAAGACACCGGAGGTGTTGAAACAAAATGGCTATTTTTGTAGTGATTTTATAACATATTTATGTTATAATTTTTAAATAAATAAATATATATATATATATATATATATATATATATATATATATAGAGAGAGAGAGAGAGAGAGAGAGAGAAAGAGGGACAGACAGACAGAAAGAGAGGCCGAAAGAGAATGAGATGGACAGACAGATATGAAGAAACTAAATAGGTATATATATATATATATATATATATATATATATATATATATATGAGCAAGCTGATATATATATATATATATATATATATATATATATATATATATATATAGATAGATAGATAGATAGATAGATAGATAGATAGATAGGTTAATGTAGGTAGATATGAATAGATTTAGATAGATTGACAGAAACACCGACAGAAAGGGACACTTTTTACTAAGCTCAAAATATCTTCCTAGTTCAGGTGACAAGGAAACGAACATGTTAAACAATCTTGAAAATGAAGCGTGCCAGTTTGTTTGCTTAGAAACTACAAAGTTTAGTTCTAGCATGGAATTTCTATTTATTCTATGAACAGACTCACAAAGAAAGCGCGCAAAAATGTGACAGAATTTCAGCCGTTGTAAGCTCCGGCCTTCTTCAGGTGGTTGGAATGTCAAACTGAACCCTTTATTTCACTCACTGGGGTAGACTGGGTACTTCCAAGCTATGATGCAAATATTACTGTCATTACTTCTTAAGCAGAAATTGACTTTATTTCATATACGGCATATTATAATACTAGGGGCATGGCCCGGCGTTGCCCGTGCTTGATTCAAAAATCGTACGACTCATACAGCAATCGCTATCACTTGACTTTAAATATTTTTGCCCTTTCCTTGCCTTTAAAGGAGTGCCCTTTTCCGTGCTGATGCTGCTACATGCCTTACTTCTTTCCTATCTCACACTGCGAATTTTTTCTAAGCTCTATACTAAACATTAAATCTGTTACGAAAAAAGAACTAAACAAAATGAACACAAGACGATCAGCTTTAAAAAAGGACTCGTAACTGGAAAAACCGAATGAAAAAAGAATGTTAACAGTAAATACTTTTTCATACCCAACCCAGTTCTGCGGAATCAGAATCAACGTTGAGTTTAAGCAAGCAAATGAGCCAATTGGAGTAAAGTGCCATGCAGATTTAAATTTTTCCCACTTGTGACGAATGCAGTTATCGATTTTTTTTGCATGCTAGCATGCTAGTTAACATTCGTGTCAGTCAGCTGTTGGCTCTCACGCTGGCCAATAGAATCTCCCTGCCCATTCGTGGCAGCCAGCTATAAGCTCTCACTCTGGCCAGTACAAAATGGCCGCAAACTACATGAAAACTGCCGTAGAAGCATGAAAAAAATCGATTATTTCCACTATCGATGGGAGTTGGGAAATGCAAAGTCGGTCTTGGCCTTCCCACTAACTTGGGGCATGTGCATATAAATTTTGGTGCAAATCCGTCGAAAATTGCGGCTACGCATTCGTTACACACACACACACACACACACACACACGTCCTGACTTTTATAGATAGAGATTACAATTTATAACTTCCTGGACAGCATCAAATTTATTGTCTGATTTAAGCTTATTTTGATGTGCTGAATCCAAAAATCACATCGGTTTTTCACAGTCATGTTCACTTTTTGAGGTGTGGCCAAATGCTGTTTTTTTACGTTTTTTTTTACATTGTCATATTCCCGCTTGAATTATTGTTATATAAAATTAATGTTATTTCTTAATATTACGTTGTGTTTCTATACATTATTTTTTTTTAAGCATTTCACCCCAAGCAAGGCGTGAAGCCACTAGGACGCAAGGGGTTACAGAAAATTTAGAGCAAGATCAGATAGGAGTGATAGAAGAAAGGATGAGGGTAGTGGATAGATCAAGGCAACTGGAGATGTCGATTGACATTACACTTGAATAGCTGGAGATTATAGCTCACAGGGAAACAGGAGAAGGGAAGGGAGTTCCACAGGCGAGAGGTGCGAGACATGAAGCTATTAGAGTAGAAGAGACGGCTATATTTAGGAGTTTCGACAGTGAAGGGGTAAGAGCGGGTACCAGCCTCGTAAGGCGCTGGAACTCATGACGTCTGGAAACCAGCGAATGCAGCTCCTCAGAGCAATTTCCATGAAAGTATTTGTAGAACAGACAGAGGGAGGCGACGGCGCGTCTGTGAGAAAGTGACTGTAGACGAGACGCCAGGGCAGGGTCAACTACATTGCATATCCGCCTCTGGAGCCTATCAAGAACCCCGAGGCAAACAGAATCTTATTCTTTTAATGAATGTCTTGGGGTTGTTTTAAAAGGCCTAATTACGATCAGTCTCACGACATTTTATATTATTGTACCGTATCTCGATACTCCGTTTTTTAACGCTTACCTAAAACCCGTGTAGAAGGATTCCTACAACATGTACAGGTATTTTCGCTTCATTTGCACTTTTTTTTATTTCTTGAAATAAATGATCTCTAAAGAGATAAATGCACCAATTTATATCTAATTGATATTTTTATTTTACAGGCGAATGAAATGACTTCGACCAGAAGATTTTCCTAAATTAAGAAATAACAGAATATGTCAATATTCTGTTATATCTGCGGCGAATACACCATTGTTTCCAACAATCAAGCAACGTGTTAAAGTTTCAAGAGTGCAGTTGGAAAAATTGTTCGTAAATTCAAACAAATTGGGTCGGTGGCAGATGTGAAAACACCATTGCGTGCTCGATTACGCTGTTCAGCTGAAAACATTGCTGCAGTGCACGAGAATGTGGCCGAAAATCCAGACACCTCTATTCGTCATTGCGCGCAGGAATTGAACCTCTGCACAACAACGTTACATCATTTCCAGTTGCACTCTCGGCTGGTCGACCAAAAAAATTGCGAAATGCATTTCTGTTTGAATGTCCATTTTCGTAATAGGCTTCGATAGCTTTAATACGTTGTTTGATTGTTAATCTTTCCATGGTTAGATTTGCCAAAGACTTCAGTTGTTACTTTTGAAAGAAAAAGAAAAAAAATCATCAGACGTTTAAAGTTAATCCACATTTAAACTAGGTCTAATTTATTCGAACACCCTTTAGTTCCGTGCGGTTATGGGTACGACTCAACGCCACGCCCCACTTTGCGACCCCGTGTTCAACTGAGCAGAATTTCTCTTCATATTGAGTGGACGAGTCTATGTTCAGCAATTTGGTGTAAAGAAGTTTTTTTCTTTATTTTATAATTATTAGGTTGGTGCAAAAATAATGACGTAATAATGTCGTTTTTTGACGTATGTTTTAACGTCAAAAACGACATTATCACGTCATTATTTTTGCACCAACCTAATATTAATTATTTGGCGCACCATATATGTGCACACGTATGTGCCTATGTATACGGCTAGTTATGCCTTTGTGTTTGTGCATGTGTTTTTTTAATTTATAAATCGTGAATGCTTGCAATCCTTCTCAATGGTACTTTTATGAAAATACGTGTTGAATAAACAAGAGAAAATAGGTTTTACTTTTAAAGAATCTCGAAAACTACTGAATATATGTAATACAAGTTTTATATAATAAAACTAAATATTCTGTTTACACACTTGAAATTTTAGCTCGGTAGCGAATGATTATTTGTTTAAGTTGTTTTCTTCTTTCTTGAATACAATCGAAATGACAAATTCAGTTTGCGTTTCACTGAACAAATATTCTCAAGATTTTCCTGTTGTGCCCCAAATTATTTTTAACATATTTTAGGTTTAAAACATACTTAACATTTATAATAATAATAATAATTATAATAATAAAATATTGTTTAATATTTATAGAGAAGAGTTCTTAATATCGCCAATAGAGCGTTTGTAGATATAGAGAGTGTGGACATCGGAAACAACAATGTATGGTGACTGGCAGTTTCACGTTTTAATTACGCGACTCATAGAAGCGTGAAACTGACATTCACCATGCAACGTTGATTCATATGTCCACTCTCTCCTCTCATTCTCTTTCTCTTACTTTCTCTCTCTTTCCCTCTCACTACATATATATATATATATATATATATATATATATATATAGTAATTAAAGCAATTTAAATATATTAATAATATTATAAATTGTAATATTATAATATGCCTTATATGAAATATAGTCACTTTCTGCTTAAGAAGTGATGACAATAATACTTACATCATAGATTAGGAGTAAATGGGAATGTACAATGTGTAAATGGAAGTGTACAATTTTGCCATTTGTAATAGTATATTTTGGAAATGTATCAATATTGATATTTATGTGTTAAACGGCTGTACCAAAATATTTAAATTGCTTCAATTACTATTTATACACGAACAATTGTCAGCGCCTTTGTTGTTATCACAACGTTTCTGCTTTTGTTCCCTCCAGCATTCCTTAGGTTTATGTTGATCCGGGTAACTTACAGGAAATTACGAGGTGAATCCTCTACTTAAACCATGGGGTATTTTGAGGTATCTCGTCTAGTTCTTATTTTGTTTTGTTAGTACTGCTCGTCTTCAATATACAATGCCTCACAACTATTATGTCACCAAATTCATGAACCAACCCTTTAATCCACCAGGCTATTGTTTCGGGAGAACAATACTTTGTGGAGAACTTGGCGCCTTAAACCTAACCTAACTGCTGATGAGTGAATCGGATTAAAAGATGCGATACCAGCAAAACCGGATATTATAATATATATATATATATATATATATATATATATAGTGATACAGCGAAACAATCTGCCAATATATATATATATATATATATATATATATATATATATATATATATATATATATGAACACTGAAGTCAGCACTCAGAGGCGACTGGCTGTTTCATGCTAGACGCAATCGTCATATGCTCTGTCTGATATTGAGCGCTTTATCGCATAAATATAGCACACTTTAGTTCTGCATATTTTATGTATATATGTTTTATATATATATATATATATATTTATATATATATATTTATATATATATATATATATATATATATATATATATATATATATATATACATATATATATATATAGAGAGAGAGCGTGAACTGTGATACAACGAAACAGAAACAGTCTGTGTATGACAATATATATATATATATATATATATATATATATATATATATATATAAATGTTGAAGTACTACTTACCTGAATGCATTCAAAGGATCTCGTCATCATTGCAATAAGCATATTGAGCAAAACTATGACTGTGCTGATGTTGTAGGCACCGAAAATCCAGTAACCAACGTTTTGTGTAAAATAATGGTTGAAGCCTTGCAGTTCAACGACAGTTGGCTCGCCTCGGCCGAACAGTGACCAGAACACCGTCCGAAACGTGTTGTCTAAACTGTAAAAGAAATTTTTAAAAATATATTAAAATAATCACAAACAAAAAAACTAAACTGCAACGCTTTTCTTTCATTGTATGCTTATTTTGCAAAAGGACTAACATTGTAGGCTTAGAATAAAGGAAAATAATTTTTTCATCCCAAGCAAGGCGGGGGTGACATAGGGGGCAGGGGGTTACAGAGAGTGAAAATGAGGGGGAAAAACTGTGTATAGAGGAGATTGGGGGAAGAATAAATGAAGAACAGGGATCAAGGCAACAGAAGATTGCGATTGACTTTGCATTTAAATTTTTGAAGATTGCAGTTATCAGGGAAGCAAGTAAGAGGAAGGGAGTTCCACTATTGCGACGTACGAGAAAAGAAACTGCTGGAGTAGAAGTAGCGGTTACATTTAACTATTTCCAGAGTAAATGGGTGGGACCTAGATGCCAATCTAGTAGAACTCTTAAATTCATGTAATCGGGACATCAGGGAAGATCGCTCATCAGAACAGTTGTCATGAATATATTTGTAGAAAAGACACAGTGAAGCCTCATCACGTCTATGTGAAAGTGACTGAAGTCGAGATATCAAGTCAGGAGCGATTACATTGCAGATCCGTCTTTGGATTTTGTTGAGAACCTCGAGATGAACAGCAGGAGCACCAGACCATATATGGAAACAGTATTCAATGCATAGACGACGAATGGCCGATTTGTAGTTGTGTAAGATGGGCTCTGATGAAAAAAAAACAAAAAAACACAACATTCTCGCGCGACAGAGTGGACCGACATTCCTTGCAGAAGATGCAGCTATTGATTCAATGTCGTTGTTCCACCTCAGGTGATTGGAAATCGTGAGGCCAAGAAGACGCAGTGGGACACTCTCACGTAGTCGAGCATCAACCATGCTGATGAGGGTGACAGGAAAGTTTCTCTGTGGCGGTTAAATAAGAGCAGTTTAGTTTTGGGGTCATTGAAGTTTACAAGCCATTTACTGCCCGAGTTATTCACTAATTAGATACTATTTACAAGAGAAAAGGATAGGTTAATTTCGTCAGCGCTGCCGGATTTACTATTAAGACAGGAGTTATTTGTAGTGTCGTCTGTATAGATGCCAAATTGAGAACTGATGACATCAGGGTGATCATTGATGAAGATCAGAAACTGTAGAACCCTTGATGAACTCTTGCGTTCGTATAGAAGGAATTGGAAGAGAACTCGTTCAGGACAACCTTCATTTCACGTGCAAAGAGGAATGATTGGATTAAATCAAATAATCCCGTAATAATGTAACCCTGAATCTTACGTAGAAGACCAACATGACAAACGCTTTGAACGTCTTTGAGATATCAAGAGCCACATATCTGGCGTGGGCGTTATTATTAAGAGCTTGATATACATATTCAGCTATGGCTGTAAGTGTTGACCATGTTTGCCGTATCTTTGAATATAGAATCCAGTGCAGTACGTAATGTGTTCAATGGAACAACGCCAATATCACTAGTAGCAGCTGTTCAGTAATTCTTCAGGTCTTCGATATCAGAGGTTGGCAGTGAATATATTTTTGGAGAAAAAACAAAATGGCTGCCTTTATACACGTTGGATTGAATATTTTGAGCTTTCTGATTGGTTAACCCTTCTTATGGTGGACTATAAAATGAGTCAGCTCATTTTGGTTGGCTCACAAGCACACAGATGTATCCAAAAAAACTGTAACAGTAAGCACATCAGCGGTAGTCCGGGCAAAACGGAATACATATTGTTTGTCAGAAAGTAGCTCGTGAGAGGTAAGATCTTAGCCAATTCAGCATTGATTAAAGCCTCAATCTCTTTGCCGAAAATCGGTAGGATACTGATAGTGCAGCTGTTAGAGAGGTCAACATGTTCTCCAGGGTTCTTAAAAACAAGGACGACAGAAGAGGAACTCCAATAGGCTGGAAAACAGGAAACAGCGAGATAATAGTTGTATAGTTTGGAGAGAACTAGAGTTAGCTCAGGAGCACATTTCTTTAGGATGATGACTAGTATCCCGTCGCTTCCACTTGCCTTATGGGAATCTAATTTAGAAATGATGACAAAGACTAACGACAAAGTTATGCACACATTACGCAGGAGAGCCTCAGTTCTTGGAGGAGCGGGTCGCGTGTGGGGACGCCGGATGAATCAAGAGTCAAGCAAAGCATTCAGCCTTTTTTTGATGCAGATGTTAGGAATTCGAATTGACTGAATAGACGAGAGATTAAGGATTTGCTGTTGTTAAACACGCTACTGCAGAGCAGCCAATAATCTCTAGAACCAAACTTGCAAAACGTTAAACGATTTTTCATTCTATCAGCAAGCAGTAACCTTGGTTCATTGAGTACGCGCCTGGACTCGTTACGAGCAGAGACAAAGTTACGATCAGACATTTCCATCTGGTTCAGATGGAAGAAGTGATTCCTGTGGGCTATAGCAGCTGAGCGAGCAGGTGATAACCAACGAGATGAATGCGGTTTAACTAAGTATTTTATTGCTGAAATGAAAGCATCAATGCTGGCTTTTACCCAGGAGGAGACATCAGACGTGCATTTTTGAACGGGATGATTAAAATATCAAGGTTCTTGATAAGATCCAGAGACGGATATGCAATGTAATTGGCCCTGATCTGGCATCTCGTCTGCAGTCGCTCTCTCACAGATGTGACGTCGCCTCCCTCTGTCTTTTTTACAAATACTTTCATGTTAACTGCTCCAATGAGCTGATTTCACTGGTTCCCAGACTTCATGAATTTAAGCGTTCTACTAGGCTGACATCTTGCTCACTCTCTTTCAATGTCGAAACTGTTAAATGTAGCCGCCTCTTCTACTCCAATAGCTTCATGTATCGCACCTCTCGCCTGTGGAAATCCCTCCATTTTCCTGTTTTCCTGATAGCGATAATCTTCAAATGCAATATCAATTGACGTCTCCAGATGCTTTGATCTATCCTCTATCCTTCTCTTGATCCTTCCCCCTATCACTCCTATTTGCTCTCGCTCCAACTCCCTGTAACCCCTTGCGTAAATAGTGCCCTATCAATACCACTAGATACACAGTAACACCTTCTTCGAATGATGACCGGGTTTTGAAGTGGTTAACGATGCTGTATTTTGTTTTCCCAAGAATATATTTTGCGTCACATTATTGTAAACAATCCATTTTTACATCGCCGGTGATTGTTCTTTTCAAAAATAGATCATTTTTTGTGTGTGTGTGTGTGTGTGTTTGAGCAGAGAATCGCTGATAGAAATGTGACTCACTAATACGTTCCGTTACATCGTGAGACACCAAAACATCGTGTCGATTTACATATCTAATATTTTCAAATGCTTTCCAACACTCATATGTAGAATATCGCTGTCATGTTCTGTTTCGTGTGGCCTGGATTATTTTTTAATCAACATTTCAGTTTGGTTATCAACAATGACTGCAGGCTTACAGGAATATTGCCGATCTTTCAGATCAAATTTTTCACTTCATGAACAATACTCTCAGCTATGGAACTATCACTATAAACAGTACATGTCGTTTTTGCTGCTTGTACAGCGTATTTTGTTTTTAATCATCTGAATTAAAAGAGCTTCAAATGACGAAAATGGATCTGATTTTCCTCCAATTTCACTGTTAACATAATCAAAAAAAATCCTTTAAAATAGACGCGTTGAAATGTCACCATCCCGAATATGCATATATGTCATAAATCACTTGTTCAAATGTTATCAATTGATAAACATTATTACATTGTTTGGACTGTTTTCCTCACCTTTATTGTCATATATGACAATAAAGATGAGGACATCAGACCGAACACTGTAAATAATGTAAATATTTACAATACCTCATCTCAGAAATCTAGACAGACAATTGATAAACGTTTCAAAATTTTGTTCCAGTCTGATATATATAATGCCGTAAATGCTTTGCAGATTATTTTACTACAAAAAAACGTTTCTATTCGTCCATTGAATACTTCTATCGCATCTGGTCTCGTACGTCTGCGACACACACACACACACACACACACACACACACACACACACACACACACATATATATATATATATATAGAGAGAGAGAGAGAGAGGTGGGGAGAGCGATTCTTGACAAAATCCGAAAAAGAATCTGTAACGTTATCGGTTTTGATCTGGCATCACACCTTCTGTCACTTTCCCACTGTCGCAGCGAAGCCGTAGTTTTATAAGAATATTTTTTACAGTAATTTCTCTGGTGAGCTTTCCTCCTTGCTGCCATGACTTTACGTAGGTACCTTCGTTTTTTCCCGGGAAAACAGCATAGGAAAAGGACACAAACTTAACGAAAATAAAATTTTATCGTCAAAATGTTTATGTTATTATTAAGATGAAAGATCAAAGTTTATTTTAATTATTTTTTGAAATTTTGTAATCCTTTCTAACACGTTCGAAATTTTGATTAAAGTCTTCTTTTGTTTACGTCATCGCGGGAGCATGAAAATAACATTGTGTTTTTTGCGCTTTTTCCGTTGAAAACACATTGATTTTGAAATTCTTGTAAAAATAAAGTAATTGTCAGATTTTAATGAAATTTTCAGGACTTATTCACAAATGAATGAAATTATTTTTGAATTCTTTTTTTTAGAAGATTTTGGTAAAAAAAAAAATTTTTTTTAATATGTTAACCCCCCCCTTACTTAATTTCATGAAATTTCGCACTAAACCTTTCGGTTTCCTGAAATATATATTTTTTTTTTGGTTAAAAGTAGTAAATCACCTACTTTTCTTTTTCAAATTTGATCTATCTAATTGAAAATCTGCTCTGAATTGAAAAATAATGAATCCAATAAAACTATGTGATTACTTTATTAGAAAAGCTTTTAATTGTTTTTTTTAAATAAGTAATATTAAGGACATTATTGTCTGAAGAAATAAAATTTTCCTGATGAATAATGAATTTTTACAAGAATTTTTCCATTTTTTTAAAAAATTTTAATTATAATAATTTATAATAGTTTAAAATCGTGTA